TCTGGTTATTCGCTCTGCCTCCTGCCAGAGCCTGAGGCCAGCCCGTAAGTTCCGGGACGGTAATGCGACTTGCCTAAGGCCACACGGCTACGAAGGGACGTGACTCTCCGGGCCTCTTGCTGAGTCAGTGACCAAGGAGAAGCCTGGACGCAGGGCTGCCCAGGAGGCAGCCAGGGATGTGGGCAGTGGAGAGGCCACCTGTCTTCCGGACAGGGGTTGTGATGCTGGGGGCAGGGCCAGGGGCTAGGAGAAGGAAGAACATTCCAGCGCTTCCCTCTAAGGGACACTAAGCCTCTTTGTCACGGGAATACAAGAAACCACCTGCCACAGCTGGCTCCCGTGTCCCTGCCCTGTCTCCTCAAGTGTCAGGCGACCTCGGGCCTCAGCGGTTGGTGCCTGGTGCCCTCTAGTGGCGCAGCTGGGCAGTGGGGCACCGGCAGTGGGAGCACAATATCCTCCCGGGCCTGTCCCTTCATCAGGGGCGTGTCTGGGAGCCACATGCTGTCCCTGGGCACTCTGGGAGACAACGGGGGACACTGGAAAGAGGACCTGGAGCCCAAAGGCTGCGATTCGGGCCCCAGCTGCCTTCAATACGTGCTTGGGTTCTTCATGTGAGCCACAGGGATGCCCACGCCCTCCCCGCCCGCTGCCGGTCACCCTGTGATGGGGGACAGCTCCCTGGAGTTTGAAAGCGGTGCTGAAGAGAAAACTATTGCGTTCACGAGAAAATAAGTAACCGTGCAGGTCCGGGTGCTAAGGACGGACGGAGGCCAGTGCTAGGGGAAGGGTCCCCAGCAGAGGCGATGGTGTGAGCGAGGCTGGGGAGGGCGGGGGAGGGGCGGCTGCGTCAGCAGAGAGACGCACGTCTGTGTGGCGCGGGGTGAGGTTCCCGGGGAGCCAGCCGATGGCGCTGGACGAGGAAGTCCACGGGTGCTCGTGACCTGTTCCTCCCTCTTCCTCCAGAAGGCAGGCAGGGCCATACTGCACAACCCCACCTACAGATTCAGGGCTCTGCCCAGCAAATGTCCAGTGGCAGTTTTCACTGAAGTAGGACAACAGCCTAAAATTTGTGCGGAGGCACAAAAGATCCTGGACAGCGAAATCCTGGGGAAGCGAAGCAAAGCTGTACCCGGAACAGTATGGTGGCAGCGGGAAAACAGACACACTGATCAGGGGAGCAGACCAGAGAGCCCCCAGATAAACCCACACCCATCTGGGCAGGTGACCACGACAAAGGAGGCACGACTATACAACGGGGGAAAGACAGTCTCTTCAATAAATGGCAGGAGACCTGGATGGTCGCATGCAAAAGAATGAAACTGGGCCGCTTTCTCACACCACAAACAGGAAGTAACTCAAAATGGATTGAAGATTTGAAGGTTAAACCCTGAAACCATAAAACTCCCAGAAGAAAACATACGTGGTAAACTACTTGACGCTGGTCTTAGTGATGATTTTTAAAATATTTTTAAATGTTTATTTTTTAGAGAGAGAGAGTAGAGGAGGGGCAGAGAGAGAGGGAGACACAAAAAGTGAAGCAGGCTCTAGGCTCCGAGATGTCAGCACAGAGCCCGACGCGGGGCTCGAACTCAGGAACAGGGAGATCATGACTTATGTCGAAGTCGGACACTTAACCCACGGCCCCCAGGCGCCCTGATGTCAAGTAGGACCACATCGTACGAAAAAGCCTCTGCCCAGCTCAGGAAACAATCAACAAAATGAGAAGGCAGCCTAATGAGTCGGGGAAGAGGCTGTATCCGATTAGGGGGTTACATCCGAAATACGTAACGAACGCACACAACTCAACAATAAGAATCATGTCATTAGAAAATGAGCAAAACAGATGAATAGATACTTTTCCAAAGAAGACATCCAGACGGCCCAAAGACACACGAAAAGATGCTCAACACCGCTCATCACCAGGGAAATGCAAATAAAACCACACCAAGGTATCACCTCACACCTGTCAGAGGGGCTCAAATCAAAAAGCCAAGAAACAGCAGGTGTGGCGAGGACACGAAGAAAGGGGACCCTGTGCGCTGTGGGTGGGGATGCAGACTGCTGCGGCCACTGTGGGGGACAGCGTGGAGGTTCCTCCGAAAACAAGAAAGAGAAATACTCTCATATCCAGCTACTCCACTTCTGGGATTTTATCTGAAGAAAACGAAAACGCTAACTCGGAAGGGTATGTGCCCTCCCGCGGTCGCCGTGGCGCTATTTACAGTAGCCAAGACATGGAGCAGCGGTCCATCGACGGACGAACGGATGAAGGAAACATGGCATAAATATAATGGAATATTACTCGGCCATAAAAAAGAATGAAACTTTACCCTTTGCACCAACATGGATGGATCTCGAGGGCGTTATCCTGAGTGAAACTTGTCAGACAGAGAAAGACAAATACTGTATGGTCTCTCTTACCTGGGGAATCTTAAAAACAAAAACAAACAACAAGATCATAGATACAGAGGATAAATTGGTAGTTGCCGGAGACGGGGGGTGTGGGGTGGAAGAAATGGGTGAACTGTTTTTCTTTTTTAGTTTAAATGGATTGAATAACTTGTTCTGTTTTCTTTTTTTTTTAAGTATAATTTAGGAAGCCTGGGGGGCTCAGTCAGTTCAGCATCTGACTTTGGCTCAGGTCATGATCTCGTAGTTCATGGGTTCGAGCCCAGTGTCGGGCTCTGTGCTGACAGCTCAGAGCCTGGAAGCTGCTTCCGATTTTGTGTCGCCCTCTCTCTGCCCCTCCCCCACTCGCACTTGTCTCTCTCAAAATAAATAAACTGTATAGTTTTTTTTGTTTAATTTATTTCTAGGAGAGAGAGAGACAGCGTGAGCAGGGGAGGGTCAGAGAGAGAGGGAGTCACAGACTGAAACAGGCTCCAGGCTCTGAGCTGGCTGTCAGCACAGAGCCCGATGCGGGGCTCGAACCCACAAACTGCGAGATCATGACTTAAGCGAAAGTCGGCCGCTTAACCGACTAAGCCACCCAGGCGCCCCAGCTCTCAAAATAAATAAACTTTAAAAGAATGTTCACGCAAAAGCATTTTTTAATGTGCCTTGGTTTATCTTTTAATAGTTCTTGGCTTATAAAGATGTTTATGGATCAGGCTATCAAGACTTTAATGATTCAGAATGTCATCCACTAAGAATTTGAAGTTTTTCCCATAAAAAAAGGAGGGGTAGAAATATTTGCTTCTAGAAAACAGAAAAAATTAAAACATCTCCTTGGAACGCGATTCCCAGAGGCTTGACACCCTCAGAACAAGGTTCCCACGCCCCAGCGTAGGCTGTTCTGGGTCTCCTTCCCAGGCCCCTGCCAGGGACCCCCACCTCCCCTCCCCAGCTGCTCACCAGCCAGGCCTGCCCACCCTTCCCCCCACAGAGAGCCCATCAGGGGGCTGACAGCTCAATGCTTTATAAAACGGGTCTTGGTTTTAGGCCCACGGGCTTTCCTCCTCGCTGCGTTCCTAACTTCTCCAAGCGTCAGTGTTCCCATCAGTAAAATGGGGAAATAACAACTCCATCATAATTCTCAAATTCGGAGCACCTGGGTGGCTCAGTCAATTAAGTGTCTGACTCTTGGCTTTGGCTCAGGTCATGATCTAGTGGTCCGTGGGTTCGAGCCCTGCATCGGGCTCTGTGCTGACAGCTTGGAGCCCGGAGCCTGCTTCGGATTCTGTGTCTCCCTCTCTCTGCCTCGCCTCTGCTCATGTTCTGTCTCTCTTTATTAAAAATAAACATTAAAAAAAGGAGGAGGAGAAAGGGGAGGGACCATGTCAGGATCACACTGTCCCCACTGAAGTGCCCCAGGGCCATGACTCAGGCCACACTGAGGCTTTACCCAAGGAACCAAAACAGACTAATGACTTGGCCTGAGGTCACCTGGCCAGTGGAGATTAGAACTCAGGCCTTAGCAGAAATGTATTAACTAGGATGATGGAAGGAAAGCAATGTTTGCCATGATTTAACTGAAAAGGTCCTACAAATGAAAATCCAATTTAATATTCACATATGTTAGCGCTCAAGGCGGACCAGTAACAGAGAGGCACGCACATACCCCCAAAAGATGACTCGGGGGTTGTTTTTTCATTTAATTTTTTTAATGTTCATTTATTTTGAGGTGGGAGGGGCAGAGAGGGAGAGAAAATCCCAAGCAAGCTCCGTGCTATCAGCACAGAGCCCCACTTGGGGCTCGATCCCACAAACCATGAGATCATGACCTGAGCCAAAACCAAGAGTCAGGTGCTTACCTGCCTGAGCAGGGGGGAGAAGTGGCAGACGCCAGTGCAGCTGTCACGATGGGCGCCAGGCAATGCAGACGTGCTGAATCACTATGTCGTACACTTGAAACGACAACTGTACGTTCACTAGCTGGAATTCAAATTACAAAATTAAATCAACCAGCGAATTGCAGGAGGCAAAGAAAGTGGCAAAAACTGAGATTTGAACCCGGGGACACCGATGCCCAGCCGCAGGCGGCCAGCCCCGGGGACCCGTGCGAGGCACGCTGGCCGGCGTGGGGACACTGCAGCTCAGTCCGGCTACGGGGACGGCACACCCAGCCTCGGCCCCACCGGCAGGCAGCAGCTCGAGGCCCGCCTCCCCCCACACCCAGGCCTCACCATGTCGCACAAAGCAAGGGGACACTCGGTCCTCCCTCGGAGAGCACTTGACCGGGCCTGGTGGCTGGCAAGTACGAGGCCCACGACAGAGCAGGCATCTTCCCCCTCGTGTCTGGGCTGCTGCCCGACCCCCACCCCCGCCCGGGCCACTGGGCTCTGCTCTGCCATGAGCCCCGGGCCCGTGCTAGAACCATTTCCGGACCTGCGCCTGGGGGCCAGGCTGCCGCAGAGCGTATATAAAGTATAAAAAAGATGGAGAACGGGGGCGCCTGGGTGGCCTAGCTGGTAGGACGTGCACAACTACTGATCTCAGGGTCGAGAGTTCAAGGCCCACATGGAGGGCTAAGCTCATGTTAAAAAAAAAAAAAGACAGGGAAACACAAAATAAAACTTTATTGAAGCAACTAATCAGCAGACCAAAGAACAGTGTTTTCAACAGGACACCTAGAGCAGAGACGTAAACGTAAGTGTGCTTTTCTGGTTCACGGTAACACGGGTTAAGCTGTTCCCATCCTTTCGATCTGTAACTCAGAGAGCTGCAGCCAGTCCTGGCGAGCGGGGCGCTGACGGAGTCACGGCCTCGCTCTCCCCAAGGCAGGAGGCACAGGACGGGCCCTGGCTGCCGGCATCAACCCCCAGCCCATCTTCCCACCGTGCGGCCCGCTCTGCACCTGTCTCAGGAGTGGGCCCAAGGCCCCACCAACTACGGGAGCCTGACACGGCCCTGCACGGGCCCCCGGGGGTCAGCAGCCTCACTCCTTCTTGCCTGCGGGGGCCGGGTCTCTGGTCAGGAGCTTCGTGGGGCCGGAGTGGGCGAGCGTGGGCATGGTGGGGGTCTCCAGCCTCACCCTGTCCAGGAGGGTCTTCTTCAGCGCGGCCGGGGAGACCTTCTCCTGGTCAGCCATGGACTGCAGCTCCCTGAGGACAGAGCCCCCAGAGTCACCGGCGCCCGATCGGCACGAGGCCGCCCCACGCTCACGACCCCCAACGACCTGGCAGCGCTCCATATCAGAACCCCAGATCAAGCATGCCCGCCAGCTTCCCAGACGTGCTCTCTAACTGCATGTGGGCCGCCCCCCCGACCCCCCCCGGGGTGTGCAGGGCCACATGGTGTCTCCGGTCACAGGGAACGCTCTGGAAAAGTCGCCGGGTCTGGAGCCAGCACTTACTGGGCCCTGCCTCTACCACGTGTGGCTGCCTGAGCTCGGGGACACCGTCTCTGGGCCCCACCTCCCTCACCCTGAGGGATTGCAGCTGCCAGGGCCACGGGGGCGTTAACAAAGGAAGGCCTGCAAACCCGCAGCTCAACAAAGTCTGATAAACCGTGGTGTGAACGCAGCATGGACCCCGGTGCTGCTAATGGACCAGGTTCTGTAGGATGGGGCCCAGCCCAGGGGCTGCAAGGGCCGCAGGGACAGTGACCCACCGTGTCCGGATGCAGGAGGCCTCCACGGCATTGATGAGGAGCGAGCGGAAGCCCCCGCTCTCTAGGAAGTGCAGGGCGTGGATGGTGGCCCCCCCGGGGGAGCAGACGTTGTCCTTGAGCTGGCCCGGGTGCTGCTCTGAGTCCAGCAGCATCTTGGCGGCGCCCTGCGGCAGGCAGAGAGGACGAAAGGAGAGACCGCTGGCGGGCCTCAGGATGGGCGTCCCCAGGCCCGCCGCCCTGCCCGGCCCTATCCCGGCTTCCCAACCCTGCCCCGCCCCCAGCTCGGGGGCCCACAGAACCCCCATCCCACACCCCGGTCCAGAACTCGCAGGGCGAAGATACTGACCAGCAAGGCCTGGGCCCCCAGTCGGACAGCGAGGCGCCGCGGCAGGCCCATCTTCACCCCGCCGTCAGCCAGCGCGTCCAGGGCCATGAATGCCTGCGGGGAGCCTTGCTGAGTCCCGGGCCGCAGGCACCCAGGGTGTTCCCGGGGGACCATGTCTCCCAGGGACTGGAACTAGCCGCAGAGGCCGACCTCCGCCACTAGCTGGCTTCGCCCCACCGGGGGGGCCACGCCCCCAGCCCACCTGCAGCCCTGGGTCCCCAGAGGGCCGGGGAAGCACATGAGGGCCTCACATAGGCAGGCCCGCTGCCGCTGAGCCCGGTGACGGCGTCGATCAGGTCCTCCTCCACCTCTGTGCAGAAGCCCACGCTGCTCATGAGCTGCTCCAGGAGCCGCCCATCCTCCACCAGCGCGTGGGTGCCCGTGGCGTACACCGTGGCGCCCTCCCGCACCACCACAGGCGTGTTGGTCATGCAGCGGATCACCTTGGGGGCCGGCTGGAACGCGGTCAGCTTCTGGGACGAGGAAGTGGTCCCCGTGAGCCACCAGGCGCGGCTTCCCCCAGCACCCCGCCCCCCAGCGGCAGCGGGGCCCAGAGGGGCACCTTCTCCACCGAGCTGATGGTGACACCGGCAGCACAGGAGACCACGATGTGCCTGGCCTGCACGTCGGCGCCAATCTCGTCCAGGATGAAGGGGATGATGTGTGGCTTCACGGCCAGGAACAGGACGTCACTGTGCCTCACCGTCTCCTTGTTGCTCCGGGTCAGGTTCACGCCCATCTTCTGCAGGAGGACACCGAACAGCTCACAGCGCAAGGCGGGTCGGTCCCCTGAGCCCAGGCTCTCCCGAGAAGCCGGTGAGCCCCTGCGGAGCCACCTGCGCCTGCTGCAGCCTGGAATTCCAGTCCTGTCCCTTGGGGGGAATCTGCCCGTCCCCCCGGGGGGTGGGCACGAAGTCTCCCAGTCCCGGTACCAGGCCAGTGAGCTAGGTGCCAGATACAGACGGCTTCTCCAAGGCAGCCCAGAAACGGCTGTCTCCCGCCCCACCGCTGGCGCCCAGGCTCCTCTCTGCTAGGGGTTTCCATGGAAAGAGTCAAAGGCACAGGGGAAGGTGAAACGGAAGCGCCCAATGGGAGGCAGCGGAGTCGGGTCAGGCCCCGCACCACCACCGGACACCTGTTCACAGGGCCGCGCGGTCTCCGCCTGGTCCAGGGGCGACCTGGAGGTCACCCCTCTGCTTTGGACTCAAACTGATAACAGGGGCCCTCCAGTTCTGGGAGCTGCCCAGGTTTGGAGTGAAGAACTAACTCAGGAGGCTTTCCCAGCGATCACTCGGGCCTCAGAATAACTCGGTAAAGGAGCTACTACGGGCTCCATGTTACAAAGGAAACTGAGGCTCAGGGTGGCTGAGCACCTTAGAGTCGCACGGCCAGCAGGTGACGGAGTGTTCGCCGCGCACCTACTGTGTGCCGGGCGCTTGCACACCACGGCCTCCATCAGTGTCGGGCCCAGCGATGGGAAGGGCGACCCCTGGCCCCCCGGCCCCGCTCCCCGGCTCCCCCGCCCCGCCTACCCGGAGGGAGGACACGGTGGGCAGGTCCATTTCCGGGGAGCTGGCTATGATCCGGTGGGCCGACAGGATGCCTGCGGAGGAGGGTGCCCGTCAGCCGGAGCCCGCGCGAGTCCCGGACACGGCTGCGGCCCGCCCGCCTCCCGCGCTCACCTGCGGCCGTGAAGCCCCGCGCCAGCGCACAGGCCAGCTGGCCCGCGCCGATGAAGCCCACGCTCATGGCCGCGGGGACGGGCTCGGCACCGCGCGGGAGCTGCACGAGGCCGGGCCGACAGAGCCCCCAGCGGTCGGCGCGCGCCCCGGAAGCCGGATCCGCGGAGCTTCCGGCGGCCTCGGGCCCCCTCCCCACTGCCTCCGGGCAGACGGCGCCGCGCGGCTCGGGAGGGCGGCCAATCAGTTCCCCCGGAGCTCGCTGCGGGGGGCGGGGAGAAGAGAGAAACCCATCCTCGAGCGGACCAATCCGCGGCCGGGAGCTCGGGCCGTGTGCCCGCCCCTTGAGCCCGGGATTGGGGCGTCAGAACCTCCAGAGCGAAGACCGGAAGTCGTGGTCTCCAACTATCCTGTTCGTCGGGGGCCGACCCCAGACGTTCGGGGGGTCCGGGCGCGGGTCAGGCCGAAGTCTGGCCTGTGTCGTGCCTGGGGCGTGGCATCCGCCGCCGCTGTGGGCGGGGGCCGTCCCCGGGTTGCAGGGATGAATGGGGCGGGAATCGTGCCCGCTCGCTGCGGGTCCCCGGCTGGAACCTGCACGGCGCCCAGGAACTGGTTCCAAAACACGGCCGATGGGCTCCTTTCCGGGGCTTAGGAGGCCGGACTCCTGAAGTAGGAAGGAGGCAGCGGGCCACCTGCCTGTTGGCCGCGGTCTGTGCTTCCTAATTAGCTCTTTCCCGCCTATCTCTTCACTCAGGCTAACCACCTGCGGGCAGGGCGTCCCCATATGGGAACCGAAAATTCCCCCAGGAGCGCAGGGACCGCCTTGAGCCCGGTGTCCGACCCCAAGACGGTGGTGACCTGCCCTTCACTGCCCACCCGCTCGGACCCACAGTCTTTGTGCCACACTTTCCTTATACGAACCTGGACGTACTTCGAGCACTTTGAGACCCTGGTCTGCAGTCTCGGGGTGGTGGCCTCACTGAAATGAATTCCTTTCCTGTTCCCCCACCATCCACATCTCTCTGCCTTTGGTTTTGTGCGCGGCCAGCGGCCGAACCTGGTCTGTCTGGGAGCCCCCCCCCCCCCATGGTCAGGTGCTTTCGTCTCCTGCGCCCCGGGTACAGGTAGGGCCCCGCCAAGTACAGGGAGGTCTATGCCTCCGCCAACCCACCACTCGGTGTATACGCCCCACACACGGGCTGTTTCCATTTCCATCTGCAATAAAGGTGTAAGTAGGGGGCCTCGGGGACCGGGTGACGAAAATACGGAGGAAGGAGGCAGCGTCCCTGGAGGGGGGGGGGGGGGCTAGGAGGGGGGGGGGGGGGGGGGGGGCTAACCCAGCGCTGGTCAGCCAGGGGTTCTGAGGCCCCGGCCGCGCCCCCTCCCTGCAGCACCTCCTGTAGCTGCAAGCTTCCTCTACCTGCTCCCCCTGAGCAAGCCCCCACCCCCCAGTTCTTGCACCTTTAAATTTTTTTTTTTTTTTAAATTTCTAGGAGAGAGAGAGACAGCGTGAGCAGGGGAGGGTCAGAGAGAGAGGGAGTCACAGACTCTGAAACAGGCTCCAGGCTCTGAGCTGGCAGTCAGCACAGAGCCCGACGCGGGGCTCGAACCCACGAACCGAGAGATCATGACCTAAGCGAAAGTCGGACGCTTAACCGACTAAGCCACCCAGGCGCCCCCAGTTCTTGCACCTTTAAAGGTGCAGAATATATGTTCACTATTTTTAAATTTTAAAAACTGTGTATTTGGGGGGGTTAATTTTTAATGTTTATTTGTGAGAGAGAGAAAACACGTGCCTCGTTAGCAAGAGAGGAGTAGGGAGAGGGAGACACAAAATCTGAAATGGGATCCAGGCTCTGAGCCGTCAGCACAGAGCCCAAGACGGGCTGGAACCGGAACCATGAGATCATGACCTGAGCAAAGTTGGATGCTTAACCGACTGAGCCCCCCAGGCGCCCCATAACTTTTTCTGATTAGAAAAGGAATACATGCAGGGGTGCCTTGGGGGCTCAGCCGGCTGAGCCTTCAACTCTTGATTTCTGCTCTGGTCATGATCTCACCACCACCTCCTCCCTGAGCCTGAAACGTTAAGATTTTCTCTCTCCCTCTACCCCTCCCCTGCTCCCACTTTGTCTCTCTCTCTCTTTCTCTCTCTCAGAAAGAAAGGAATACATACATATTGAGGAAAATATGGAAAAACAGTCAAAGTAAAAAAGGTCAAAACCACCCCTAATCACACTTCCCAGGAACAGTTTTTTGGAAACATCTTTGTTGTATTTCCTTACGCTTTCTTTTACAGGCATATATACTTTTCCATCTTTGGAAATAAATGATACAACAGTTTTGAAATTTCTATACTAGATATATAGTAAGCATTTCCCAATACTGAAAAGGTATGTAAAACAAGATCTTAGTAACTACTTAGCATTTCATTCTGTGGCTGCACCACACGGATTTCGCCGTTCTCCCAAAGGTCGGAATGAGGTCTGTTCATTCAGTCCCCAGGTGCCTACTGACCCAGGTTCTGGGGACAGCCATTGGCAAAGCCGACCAAAGTCCCTGTCCTCACAAACTTACATCAGTTTTTAAAATCATTCATACTAGTGTGAGGAAATCTTCGCCTAACTCTTTGGTTATTTCCTTAGTTACACATGGAAGTGGGTTTTTTTTTTTTTTTTAATGTTTATTTATTTTTGAGAGAGAGAGACAGAGTGCGACCAGGGGAGGGGCAGAGAAAGAGGGAGACACAGAATCCGAAGCAAGTTCCAGGCTCCGAGCTGTTAGCACAGAACCCGATATGGGGCAGCTCGAACTCATGAACTGAGAGATCATGACCTGCCTGAGCCAAAGTCAAACGCTTAACCAGCTGAGCCCCCAGGTGCCCTAATGCGGTAGTGGCTTTAAAGGCTCCCATGACACCATGTCATGAAACCAGAGACCCAGCACATCGAACTAGCTGGAGAAAGGGGGGCTTCTGGTACCACCATGGGAAGGGCAGGGATGGGGGGCTGTGTTCTCTGGAAGGGCACCTACATCATGAGGCCCCTGGGGTCCCCGAACTGGGGCCCAATGCTGCGGGACCCCTCCTCTCTTCTCTTTGTCACTGTCTGTACTCATTTCTGCTTGGCTTCCTTTCTTGTTGCAGAATCTTGATCAGGCAACGGGGAAGATGGGAGCCTCTGATTGCCGCCCGCTCCTCTGGGGGGTGACAGGCTCCCTGTAGTCAGTTTGGAAGGCTGCAGGGCCGCTTTGCTCCCCCCAGCTCTCTGGCTCTGGCCTGCAACACGGAAGGTTGAGCCGAGTGTGTGTGTGTGTGTGTGTGTGTGCGCGCACGCGCGCGTGTGTGGCTCCTATCAGACTCCTTACACACATGCATCATCCCGGCCTACTTGCCGTGGTATCCCTGCTGTGGCGTCCAGGAGTCGAGGTGAAATGCGGGGAGGTCTACGAGGCCTAGGAAAGGAGGCCATGTCGGTGGCCCCTACGCCGGCTTGACCTCCAGCCAGGCCAGGCCACATCCGAGGGGGCAGCCGAGACACTGGGTCCTCCCGCGCCATCGTGGACGTGTGAGCACTGGCCAGACGCTGGTTACGGTTACGGTGCTTTGAGAGCTCTCATTGTTTTCATCTCCAAAGTTTAAAGCTCACTTTAAATGATTTCATTGTAGGGAATCCCAGTTCATTCTCAAAAGGCCCTGCCGTAGTTGCCATGGTGATGCCCACAAAATTCCTTTGGGCCGAGTGTTGGATGGCCAGGATGAGTTGAGGAGAGAAAGGGCCTGTCCTCCCGCCTCTGGCCGCTTAGGACGCCCCCTCGAGGATGAGGACAGCCCCAGCCTGGTGCTGCCATCCTGCCGTGACGTCCCTGTCCCTGGCTCGCGCCTGTGTCCTCGGGCGCCCTCTCCATCCATTTTACTCCATTGCAACAGGCAGAGAGAAGCCCAGAAAGGAAATGGGGAAGCTCACCACGCTTCCGGGCCTCCCACCTTCCCCCCTCTCCTCTTACCTCCTCCTCCTCCTCCTCTGGTCAGAGGGTTCAGGGGCCGTAGCCCCTCCCGCTCCGCCCTCCCCCAGTCCTGCCCCTCCCCCTCCTGCCTTCCCAGACGCCGTGGACAATGCTTCCTTTCTGCCCCCACTTGTCCAGGTGCTTATCCCCGGGGGCCTCCTTCCTGGTCCCATTAGCAGTCTCACCCCTCCTAGCAATGGACATGACCCCGGGGGGAATCTGAACGGCTCCCAGCTAACCCTCTGGCAAGAACCTTCGCCCCTAATCCTTCCTGACTTAGGAGGCTCTCCAGAGAAACACCCTTGACAAGCATTTTTGCTTTAGTTGTTATTTTTTGGTTATTACACCAGCAATCCGTGTGGATGGTGGAAAACACTTCAATTGCATCAAATGGAAACACGATCAGTGCTTTTAATCCCACCACCTAAAGAGATCCAACGTGGGGCATCTGGGTGGCTCAGTTGGTTAAGCGTCCGACTTCAGCTCAGCTCATGATCTCACACTTCGTGGGTTCGAGCCCCGCGTCGGGCTCTGTGCTGACAGCTCAGAGCCTGGAGCCTGTTTCAAATTCTGTGTCTCACTCTCTCTCTGACCCTCCCCTGCTCACCCTGCCTCTCTCTCAGAAATAAATAAAACATTTAAAATAAATAAAGAGATCCAACGTGACTCTTTGGCATATCTTGATGCCTCTTTTTCCTACAAGTCAGGCACATATTAAATCTGCATTTTATTTATTTATTTTTTTAGTGTGTATTTATTTTGAGAGAATCCAAGGCAGGCTCCGCGCTGTCGATGCAGACCCTATGCAGGGCTGGATCCCACAAACTGTGAGATCATGACCTGGGCCGAAATCAAGTCAGATGACACCTAGGTGCCCTGCTTCAAATCTTTCTGACCCCTTCTTCTGTCTCTGTTGGCCACACCCTCTTGGTGGCTCCGGGCCGCGATCCAACTGCGGCCCCCAAACACGGAGGACAGGGAGGGACGGAGGAGAGAGGCTACTCCAGATGGCCAGGAAGCAGGGGCAGTGACCACAGGGAACTGACCCACGAGGCCGGGCTTGGGGGCTGCCAGATGGCGGACCCCCCGCACCTGTCCCCACGTGCCCACAGTTCATGGAGCAGCCGCAGCGGGGTTCGGTCACACACCCCCTCCAGCTGGTCCCAGCGCCGCGTCTCTATCTGAAGGCCGTCCCTGGGGCAGCTTCTGGGAGCCAGTGAATCCCCCCGGGGCCACATCCCAAGGACAGGAGAGGAGGCGAGGAGCCTCCATAGGCCGGGTCCCGCTCACAGGTCAACTGGCGGTCATGTCCTCAGTGACCTTCCCAAATAGCCTCATCCCTGTGCCTCCAGCCAGAGAAAGTTCTCTGCTTTGAAGGAATCCTATGATTCGATTGGATGCGCTCTGGTAATCCCAGATCATCTCCTTATTTTGAGGGCTGTTGCTTTAATCACATCTGCAAAACCCCATTTGACACATAACCTAACAGGCTCCAAGGATTGGGAGGTTCGGAGGTACTTGGGGAGAACGTTCTGTCCCCCACACTGTCTCCCTGCGCTGAGGGACACATCCTTACATTTTGAAATGAGGCCAATCTCCTGGATTTTTTTTTTTTCCTCACAGGGGACGATGTGAACAGGCTCCTTCTTGCCACTGATCGAATGTGACTCGCTGGGAGGCCACAGATCACCGATCATTTAGAGCCACGGAGAGGTCACCGGGGAGCTGGTGGGATTCTATAGAAGGCTTTGATACCCTTCTTGGAGAGAACACGGCTACAGACCCCAGTGCTCACGACATCCCACGTGGAAGGGTGTCTCAGGGAGGTGATCTGGCCGTGCCCGAGCCAGAACCCAGCCCACCCTCCCCCCTCCAGCGATACACTCACCGCGTCCTCAGTTCCTGGCTGTCCACACACTAGTTCCATTTCCGCCTCCACCGTTCAGTTGTTCTTTGTGAGCTTTGCGGGTAAAACTGAGTCCAAGACCTGCAACAGCCCCGCAGAAGGAAACGCAGCTGACTGGGAAAGGGGAACGTAGGGGGATTGCCCGATGTGACAGCTTCCAAATGACACAGTGACGAAAGCCCCTGTGGTCAGCACAGCAGGCTCCCTGGGGCTTCCAGTGGGGAAGGAGTGTTCTAACGCGTTCTGTGGGGTAGAGACGCAACAGATTTGCATCCCCTCAGGCTTGATGTCTTCATCTGAAAAATGGGCATAATGATACATACCTCCAGCAACTCAGTGCAAGAACTAAGTGCTATCATGTATGCAAGGTGGCCCCAAACAGTGGCCTGGTATGGTGAACGCTCACTACATGTTAGCTTGCCTGCCACACCGTTGTCACCCTGCGCCCTGTCCCCATGACCAGTGCAAGGGTTAAAGCGCTTTCTTTTTTTTTCTTTATGTTTATATATTTTAGAGAGAGAGAGAGCGCACAAGCGTGCATGCGGAGATGGGCAAAGAGTGATGGGAACAGAGGACCCCAAGCAGGCTCTGCATTGACAGCAGCGAGCTCAGTGCGAGGCTCAAACCCATGAACTATGAGATCATGACCTGAGCTGAACTCGGACGCTTAGCCGACGGAATCCCCCAGATGGGCAGTAAAGAGGTGGCATATGCGAGGGACTATTCACTAGTTTTGGAACAAGAGTCCAGGGAGGGTACAGAAATGAAACGTAGTCTAAACTTAGTGATTTGCGGGGGCGCCTGGGTGGCTTAGTCGGTTAAGCGTCCGACTTTCGCTTAGGTCATGATCTCAAAGTACGTGGGTTCGAGCCCCGCATCGGGCTCTGTGCTGACTGCCAGCTCAGAGCCTGGAGCCTGTTTCAGTCTGTGACCCCCTCTCTCTCTGACCCTCCCCTGCTCACGCTGTCTCTCTCTCTCTCTCTAGAAATAAATAAAAAATAAAAATAAATAAATAAACTTAGTGATTTGCGGTATTCAGCCCCCCATAGACGGGAGGCTGTGGTCACCCTGTCTTCACATCATCACGTGATCTCGTGGCCCACAATCTCTCCCTCCTCTCTCCTGTAAAGAGTGCCAGGGACTGTGGCGCCTGCGTGGCTCAGTTGGTTAAGCGTCCGACTTCAGCTCAGCTCATGATCTCATAGTGTGTGGGTTTGAGCCCCGCATCGGGCTCTGTGCTGACAGCTCAGAGCCTGGAGCCTGTTTTGGATTCTGTGTCTCCCTCTCTTTCTGACCCTCCCCTGCTCATGCTGTCTCTCTCTCTCTCTCTCAGAAATAAATAAAAAAACATTAAAAAAAAAAAGTGCCAGGAACGAACTGCAGAGGTCCAAATAAAGTGAAACAGCACTTTATTTTCTTTCAGCCGATGATTTATACTCAATTGTTTTTGCTAAATTTTTTTTTTAAGTCAACACATGCAGGTTCTGGTGGTAAATTCTCTAAAACAGTGGGGAAGAGACGCTAGCTATGCACGGGCGATGCTCGGTCCGAAGAGGAGCGGGTGACATCAGGGCTCTCAGGTCCCCACGGTAATGACCTACAGCTGGATCCCACTTCCTCCTTTCTAAGAGGAACCCGGTGGCCTGGAGGCTTCCGCATCTGCCTGAGGTCACAGTTGTGGCCCTGCTGGCTCCAGTAAGTGTCCCGAGTCCCTGCCCACTGCCCCCAGCTGGAAGCCCACTGTCCTCCCTGCCAGCAACCTCCTAGGGAGCAGGGACCCAAGGATGTTTAGTAAGGTCAGCAATCAGTCAACGCATTAGGGAACAGTTATTGTTGTTTGTTTTTTTTAAGACCTCCTCCCTCCATAGGGGAAAGGGAGTTTTTTGTTGTGTTTTAATCCCTCATGTCATAGAGTAAATCAGTCTGTTTCTCCCGTTCTCATCATGGGAATCTTGTCCCCAGGCTTCGTCTCAAATTTGCCAGAGAAGAGAAGGTCCAGCTGACCATCTGTGCTCGGCTACTTCCTCTACCGAGCAGTCTGCCTGAGGTCACAGTTGTGGCCCCAGCTTGGTGATCCAGCTGCATGAGTTACTCCTGTAAGTGCTTGGGGTGAGGGACAGACAGAGGACGGGGAAGGCCGGGCAGGCAGGCAGGACAGTTAAGGCGGGGGCACCTGGTGGGGGCAGGGCTAACACACGAAGGAGAAAGATCTACACCAAGGCCTGGGATGGTGCACCTGTCCCATTAGAGGCCTCGGTGGCCGCCCCCCACCCCTAAGGCCCCAGCTTCCTGGGCACGGGCGCCCCGTCCCACGAGCAGGCGCACTTCTCCACCCTCATGTTGGGCAGGCTGACCACCTGGGGCCTGGACCTCCCCCCCTCCTGGACACTGACTATCACGGGCAGCGAGGTCGTCTCTGAGGCGATGCACCGTCGTGGCCCCAGGAACGGCCCTGTGAAGGTCGAGGGCCCGGGGGGCTGCCGGCACGCGCCCACACACTCGTAGGCCAGGAAGCCGGGGGGCTCCAGGACCCAGTGCTGAGCCCACGTCATCCCCCGCAGGTCAATGTACATCTCCTGGCGGCAGCAGCGGGCGCCCTCCGCCACAGGCGCCCCAGGGTCACAGTCGCCTCGTGCTCTGTGGGGGCAGGAGGGGCACAGGTCAGCCGAGGTCATGGGGGGGCGCAGCGGGGGCATCTGGGAGGGGGGTGTGCCCGCCAGCTCTCCTCACGTTCAGCAGGCTGCTGTCTGCGCTCAGGATGGAGAACGACCCAGAACCCCACGCCACAGAGCAGGTGCCATCAGTCCCAAGAGCCGGGCAGAGAACCAGCGTTCGCTCGTTCCCACGGCGCCCCGGTCACACCCAGCTCAGCCGAGGGGCTGACCCCCCTCCGCCCATGAGTGGGGCTCCCCGAGGGCCCGGCGCCTACCCGTAGGCCCCGAGGTCCAGGCTGTGCAGCTCCAGCTGGGGCTCGGCCTGCCCCGTGCCCTCCCGGCCCTGGGAGGCGAAGCGCACCAGCTTGTGGGCGCCGGGGGCCCGCGGGCCCAGGTGCTCCCTCTGCACGGACACCTGCAGCAGCAGCGGCTGCCCGGGCCGGCTCAGCTGCCGCCAGAAGTTCACGGCCTCCGTCACGTCGAAGGCCTTCCAGCCACTCTCGTGGAGGGACACCAGCCTGCGACACCCATGGGCACAGGGGCCTGAGCTGGGGCTGGGGACACCCCTGGGGGAGCCTCCCCCCTCCCCTGAGTTGGGCCTGCATGGCCCCCTCCCTTCAGCCTCTCCCCCAACCCCTCCCCCATGCTGGGCCCACCTGCCCCTCCCCCACTCCCTTAACCCTCTCCCTTCTGCCCCCTCCCCCCATCTAAACCTCCCCCTCCCCCTCCAGCCCCCTTACCTCCCTCTCCCCCCCACCTGTCCCCTCCTCTCCCCTTCCCTCCACTTCCCTCCCCATGGGCAGCCCCCACCCCCGCCTCCCCACCTGGAATCCACCAGGTAGGTGCTGTTGGAGCTGTCCTCCCGGATGCGCAGCCACTGGATGGTGACACGGGCTTGGGCGCTGTGCGGGGACAGCCTGCGGAGTGCGGCCTTGGGGACCGGCTGCTGGAAGAGCCGCAGCACCGCCTGCACCAGCTCGCTGTCGGGTGGCAGCCGCCCCTCCATACTGAACACCAGCACGTGCGTGGAGGCCTCCGAAGCCAGCAACCTGCCTGCCACCTCTGGGGACAGGAGCAGGCTCAGGAGGCCTGTCCCACACCAGGGCAGCCAGGAGGGCCCAGGGCCCAAAGCCAGTGACAGAGTCCCCCACCAACCCGCAGGAGGGGGGTGGGGCAGGGTGAGGAGGGGGGCCCCACGTGCACAGCCTTCTTTTTTGTTTATTTATTTTCATAGGGTGAGAGACAGAGGGCAAGAGGGGGAGGGGCAGAGAGAGGGAGAGGGAATCCCAAGCAGGCTCTGTGCTGACAGTGCAGAGCCCGACATGGGGCTCGATCCCACAAACCTCGAGATCATGACCTGAGCCCAAACCAAGAGTGGGACGCTTAACCGACTGAGCCCCCAGGCACCCCGACACGCAGCCTTCCTTAGGCGAAGGGACCCAGCTAAAGTGGGAGGGCGGCGGGGAGAGGAGGGCAGAGAACCCGCCTCGGAAATCTGTGGTCACCAGCAGGGAGTGGCCTTTCCAAGAGGGAGGACAAGAGCCCTGACTCCTGTCCTCTGCCCGCCTGCTGTGGGGCCCTCGCCCAGTGGAATGTCCCCAGCCGGAGGAAGAGGGGCCCGGGGCGTGTCACCAGCTCCTGCTCCCCAGAGACACCAGGTCACGTGTCCCCAACACCTGTGGCTCCATTTTCACAACATGACCACCTGACCATCAGCCACATGGCTGCTGCCGGCCAGCTCTGCAGAGGGCTCAGGGCAGCCTCCTCATCCCCAGGCCTCCAGGCACCTGACTGGCCAAGATTGTCCTCTCTGTCACCAGCACCAAGTCCCCTTCTCCGTTCTCCCCTCCTCCCACTGGGCTTCTGCACCCACAGGGGTGTCATTCTTGCCTCGGCTCTACCCGTGGGGCCCCCGGTGCAGACGGAGACCAGGGCCCTGGACCCTACAGTGCCTACAGCCCTTTGGGGCCCGGGCCTCCGACAGCCGCCCCGGGACGGGCCCCCAGCCTCGGCCTCCCCAGCCTCGGCCTCTCCTCGGCCTCACCTCGGACTCTCTGGCTGAACCGCTTCCCCCGGGAGCGGGCGCCGTGGCTCCGCCGCAGCAGGGCCACGTACTGGGCCCTCACGTGGGCCGGGGTGGCCGGCTCCTCCGCGTCGCGCTGGGCCGGGCCGGGCGCCTCGCTGAGGCCCAGCTGCCGCAGCAGGCTTTCCAGCACCTGCTCCCCGGTCAGGGCGGCCCCGGGGCCCGGCAGGGGCAGCGCCCAGAGCACCCAGCACAGCCACAGGGGCCCCATGGTGCTGCCGGGGGCGGGGGTGGGGGTGGGGGGCAGAGCAGACGTGTCCCCCAGGGAGGCTCGGCGAGGGTCCCAGCCTGTTGTGCGGAGAGCCAGGCCGGGCCAGTTTTATAGGCAGCCCTGGGCCAGGCCAGGCGGAGGGAGGGAGGGAGGTCACACCCCTCGGACCTCCTGGGAGCTCAGTGGCCAGACAGGTCCTGGTGCTTCGAGGAGGGGGCTGTCTGGAAAGGGCACAAAGGCCCGTCTGGATGCCACAGCAGTCTGGGGCCTCTGGCTGTGCTGTCCGGGCAGCTCAGGGATAACTAGTGCCTGTCGAATTTCCCTGGCCCAGCCCCCATCCTAGTACTGAAAAAGGGGGCCTATTATGGAAAAAAGAGAGTCCCATGAGCCCACTGTTTAAATCTGTCCCCTGGGTCTTCGTTTGTTCATCAGGAAGGAAGGAAAGAGGGAGAGGACTCCGGGCTCCTGCACTCAGCTTTCCCAGAAGCCCCCAAATTCATCTTGCTCCCATCTCTGTCCCTACAAGTCCCCCCTTCCCCCACTGCTCCTCTCCACAAGCCCTGGGAAGACTGTGTCCCCTCCGTGACGGAGGAAGCCACCACGGTCAGGACCGGCTCTCTGGGGGTCCCAGGAAGAGCAGTTTTGCACATGTTTGTTGTCACGAGACAGGCTCAAAGCTCTTCGGGCAGGAGCCCCATTCTGGGGGCCCTCCACGCCCTGAGCGTAGCCCCCGGCTCACACGGGCGCTCAGGTGGACACAGGTCAAGGGACAGGGACCTGAAGCAGAGACCACAGCTGCCCAGAGTCACGTCCTGTCCAAAGCCTCAGGTATGCCACCAAACACACAGTTTAGACTGGGCAGGGAACAGCCAGCAAGTTCCTTAACGTCTCAGTGCCTCAGTTTCCTCTTCTGAAGGACAGGCAGTCACAATCAGGTCTACTTCACAGGGCTGGCCCGAGATCAAACGGATTAGCAGTGGAAGAGGTTCAGCCCCGTGCCTGGCACGTAGTGAGCGAATGGGAACATTTGCCTTCCTTATCATCTGCCGACCAGGGCACCTTCAGGGTGAGGCTTTCCTGAAAATGCCGGTAACAAGAACAATCAGTTTTTGAGTGCCCGCCATGGGCCAGGAGCCCTTCTAAGCTCTGAACATGATTCACAGCAGCCCGAGGAGGTAGGTATACCTTCTGGATTTAAAGCCAGAACTCTGGCCAGGGAAGGAAGGTGCCCCCGCTCACTCAGTGATTGGAGGCTAGGAGGCCAATGCCCAAATCTGTCCCCAGAGGCGTGATACAGTGGATTTGAGGAGGTGCAGGAAACGTGGCAGCCTCCTACCCTGGTGTTCTGACACAGATGTGCCTGAGCACCAAGGGGCCCAGCGGCCAGGAAGTACCTGTCTCCTCCGTGATTAACTACGTCACTGACAGGTGTCCCATGCCACCCCCCGCCTCTGTGCTCCCGCACATCCCAGGCAGAAGGAGAAACTTCTGGTGTTCAAGGGTGGAACAGTCTCTGGATCAGAACCCAGGGACATCGTATACAAATTGCCACCATGTGTATATGCAAATATAACATGCAATCACATATAATAACAGTGGAGGGGGCTTAGAATTAGAGGAATAACACTGATCATAAACATAACGGTAACAGTGCCTGTGGGTTACACACTGTTCTAAGTGCTTTACACACATGAGCTCTTCTTGTTTTAATGCTTTTATTTATTTCTGAAAGAGAGGGAGAGACACAGCGTGAGCAGGGGAGGGTCAGAGAGAGAGGGAGTCACAGACTGAAACAGGCTCCAGGCTCTGAGCTGTCAGTCAGCACAGAGCCCGACGCGGGGCTCGAACCCACGCACCGCGAGATCATGACCTAAGCAAAAGTAAGACGCTTAACCGACTAAGCCACCCAGGTGCCCCTCTTTGTTTTAATTCAAGTGTAATTGACATAAAACATTATGTTAGTTTCAGGTACACAAAGGAATGATTTGATATTTGTTTACACGGCCAGCTGCTCCCCACAGTAAGGAGCTTTAAGATTGTTCCAGCTTTCTCTTACCAGCTTGCAAACACACAACACAGTATTGCTAAGTATCCTCAGCATGCTGTGTGCCCCACATCGCCACCACCTACTTAATAAGAAGTCCACCTTTTGGCCCCTTCCCATTACAGCGCCCACTTCCCCGTACCTAGTACTTTACCCTCACCACTTACCATCATTGTCCCCATTTTTAAAAATTTTTTTATTGAAAGTATTTTTTAATGCTTATTATTCATTTTTGAGAGAGAAACAGAGCGTGAGCAGGGGAGGGGCAGAGAGGGAGGGGGAGACACAGAATCCAAAGCAGGTTCCACGCTCCGAGCTGTCAGCACAGAACCTGATGCGGGGCTGGAACTCACAAACCGTGATGGTGACCTGAGCCAAAGTCAGACCCTTAAGTGACTCAGCCACCCAGGCACCCCTATTGTCCCCATTTTATACAGAAACTGAGCCATGACACTGCTCCTTGACTCGCCAAAGGTCACCCAGCTGAGGGTCCTGGATCCTGGAATGTTTGAAGGGGAGGAAACCGGGATGCTGGGGCTTGTGTCCCTGGTGTGAGGGAGGGGAAGCACAGAAACCCGGGGCAGTCGGACTGGGGAGGAGAATCATGGCTTCAGCTCCTTCCCCGTCGCCCCTTCCCCTCCCCACCCACCTCGCATCCGCAGAATTAGTGCAATTCACAGGGAGGGGCCCATGTCAGAGCTCCCGTCTCCCATCATCAGAACCCCCCTGCACGGTGAGGCGCCACCCCCCTCGGGGGGGCCAAGTGCATTCTCACTTTTCTTTGCGAGTGATTAGCAGGGGCTTACTTGATCCAGACATTTGGGCCTTAAGTTGGGCCAAAAGGTGCAGAAGTGTCACATTCCCAGGCGACCCAGGACCAGTGGCCCTTAGTCCCAGGAAGCTGTCCTGAGCTGGTGTCCCATAAATATGCAACGGCCCACCACCCTTGCCGCGTGGTGAGCGGAAGCCCTGAGGCTTATCACTGGCTGGGATTGTCCGAGGAAATAACACCCAGGCTGCTTCCTGCTTGTCAGGGAACCCCCCCTCCCCGCCCGCCACGAGGCCCCCAGCATCTCAGGCTGGAGGCTCGCTGTGTGGACCCCTGTACTGGTTCCAGCCGGGACCAGGTGTCACAGGCTTGGGGGAGGGGCAGGTCTCTGGTGCACAGGGACAGGAGGTTCCCCACCCCCACATCTGGGAGGCCCCTTTTTGCACCAGGGGTAACTGACCAGTTACACTGAAACCCCATGTTCCCAAAAAGAAAGTAAAAAGACCTTCCGACTTTCCTCTGCTGGATTCTCTGCCTCCCCCAGGCTTGTCTCTGGCCTCCCAGCTCGGAGAAGGCTCTAGAACTGGGTCTTCAGTGTGGACTGGAGTCCACACCCGGCATCTCTGACTGAGGGACGGGCTTCTGGGGCCTGGTGGCTTTGGGGCCTGGTTGGTGGGGACCTCCCTCGGGGGAGCCTGGGACCACGTGGCTCCCATCCCAGAGGGATTGCCCGGCAAGGGGCCCTGCTCCGCCCCCCCCCCCCCCCCCCGCTACTTTGTAGAATCGGGGAGCTGAAAGCTGAAATGCACCATCCAGGCCATTCTGCCCCCTCGCGGGTTTTATTTTATTTATTTTTTATGTTTACTTATTTATTATTTTGAGAGAGTGTGTCAGCACAGAGCCCGATGCGGGGTTCCAGCTCAGGAATCGGAAATCATGACCTGAGCCCAGATCAAGCTCCACGTGAACCACCCAGGGGCCCCTCCCACCCCCTCCGGTTTTCAAAGCCAAGAAAACTGAGGCTCAGAGAGGACCACTTTGCCAAAGTCCCACAGTCACCCATAAAGTCAGGCCATCCAATTCCTGGGCCGGATTCCTTCCTCACCCTGAAGCTCTTTCCAGTACACAGCCCCCCCCGGCCCCCCCAGAAGCCAGCAGGGTGCGCCCATCAGCCCCAGACGAGCGCTGGGGACTCCATCAGCCTGGGGACAGGGCTTGGGCTGGGCAGGGGCCGAGGAGAAGCAGACAGGCACAGGCCAGAGCTCCTGACTCCTGAAGTTTCCACGAGCACAGGCTTCTGGTCTCGAATGTGGATTCCAGGCCGACTGAGGCTTTGCTGGGGAAATACAATAATTGGGCAATTAACCAGTGGCCAAAACAAAAACACGAATGTGGATTGAGACACTTTTTATGAGGGGCTCATCAGCCAGTGGGAGGGAGGGTGGTGGCCTTTGTCATGCAGAGGCGGCGGGGAGCAGCCCCCCCCCCACAAGGACTGAGGATCTGGGGGACAGTCTGGTCCCACAGCCTGTGGGGTCAGGGTGGGCCTTGACAGGCGGGCAAACCACAAAATCACCTCTTCTGACCTCAAGAGAGGGGACGAGAGAGGGGACGTGACTTACAACGCTGTCTGAATCAGCCCTCCCACTCAGGGCTTTGTAAGGTGAAAGAAGGCCAAACCACTTACCAACCTGGATTGCCAGAGATTTTCGTGTTCTGTAAAGACTTTTTATTTTTTTATGTTTGCTTGTTTGTTTATTTATTTATGAAAGTGTGAGAGAGTGCAAGCGCATGAGCAGTGGAGAGGCAGAGAGAGGGAGACAGGATTCGAAGGAGAGGATTTGGTTGTTTTTGTTTTAAACATCTCTTTGAGACACAGAGAGACACAGAGAGCGGATGGGGGAGGTGCCGAGAGAGACAGAGACACAGAATCTGAAACAGACTCCAAGCTCCGAGATGTCAGCACAGAGCCTCACACGGGGCTCGAACCCATGGACGGTGAAATCCTGATCTGAGCCAAAGTCAACACTTAACTGAGCTACCCAGGTGCCCGAAGAAGCCTATTTTTTGTTTTTTTTTTAAACCTAGGGAATGGTAAAATGACTTTTTAAATTTCAGTATAGTTAACATACAGTGTTATATTAGCTTCACGTGTGTGTAAAGACTTATTTTGCAAGCATGTGTTGTGAAGGCTGGGCGTGAGGCCATATGAACGCCGCACACGGGTCTGAACTCCACAGGCCTCCTGATACACACACTTTTTTTTCCACTAGACGGTTAGTCCCATTAAGTGTATTTTTTCCTTCCT